ATATATATATATATATATATATATATATATATATAGTCAATCTTATTAAATAGAATTATATATTTAGCAATTATATAATAATAATTATTATTATTATTATCGATATATATATATACATATATATAAATAGATAATTTTAAATAGATTAAATAATAATAATGATCTATAAATATTAATATAATGTAATAATAATATTATAGTTATTTTTATTTATATTTATATATATATATATTTTTGTTTTTATATATATATATATATATATCTCTCTATATATAGATATATATATATATATATATATATATATATATATATATATATATATATATATATATATATATATATATAATTCTATATATTATGTAATTCTAAAGATAATAAATACAAAATAATAAATAAATAAATATAAATAAATAATCTCTATATAATATTACATAATAATTATCTTTATTATATATAAAATTATATAATAATAAATAAATGAAATAAAAATAATGATCTAAAAATAAAATAATATAATAATATATTACCATAATATAACATAATAACTATTATAAATAATACTATTTATACATACATAATAATAAATAATATACATAATAATACTATTTATTCATACATAATAATAAATAAGTGAAATAAAAATAATTGTCATTACAAGAACCATGGTTTGTAAAGCTTAAATAATAATGAAATATATATTCAATTTGATAATGAATTATTTATGTTATTTAATTCCCAAATTACATAACATGCACTAATATGAAACAATAACTTTTACTAAATTGACTTAATTTAAAAAATTTTTATCTGCATTTTAACTTATGTTGCCTTTTTTTTGTTTTACTATTTCTTATTCATGAATCAACAACAAAAACAATAACATTTAAACTAATCATCAAAATTAAATTAAATTTAATTAGAATGTGTACCGGTATCCACTGTTCCTATCATCAATTAATCAACGAACAACAAAGATAACATAATTTCACATAATTCATAAATCATAATTTAATTCAACACTGAAAAATAAAAAGTCTGTGATATAATATATAGGAATCCATTAGACCTAAACTTTCAAAACAAACCAAAAAAAAAAAAACCCAGGTAAACTTCAGTAAACTGTTGTAAAAGTGACTAGGAGACAAACAAGTAGTGACAGATATTTTCTCTAGTACACCCTTTTCTGAGAGCCTCGCTTCGCCCAAGAGACGGGTAAACTATCAGTCTGAACATTCAACTTACAGCGCGTAAAACTCTGTTATTTACTCGCCCAAGCCTATTTCGACTCTCATTTGGAGCTAGGCGTCTGCTATGCCTTTCTCTCTGTCTGATTCTTTGTGACTGGGAGGAAAATGAGAGCGACAGCGATAGAGCCGTCAGCGAGCAGAAAACAAACATCAGAATGGCATCTTCCAAACCCACATGATTTATTTCACAGTTAATGTTGCAACAGCATGACAAATCAGAGCGGTTTTGTAAGGCGCCGGGACGTCGTGATGAGGGCAGGCGCATATTAGGCCTAATCTGACGTATGAGC